TTCTAATCTGCTAATAAATAGTTAGTCCTTGTATACCTTATGCAATATCAAATGTATTTATTGTTTCTTTCTAAGCTGCTAATAAATAGTTAGTCCTTGTATACCTTATGCAATATCAAATGTATTTATTGTTTCTTTCTAAGCTGCTAATAAATATTTAGTCCTCGTATCCATTCAATCGTACAATTACACAAATACTTAAATTCCTAGCTTAGAGCTTAAGTAAACAAGTGGGTATCTACATAGGCTTATATTAACTATGCATAGCTATAAAAAAATGTGAAATAAACAACATGGACTTTTAGACCCTAGTGCGTATTGTCTAATATAACACAAACTGAACTATCTAAATCATTTTGATAAAGAAACAAACAACTCAGTTTCTACATCAAGTGTTTTAAGTCGATGAACTTGTACACTGTGTAAATAAAAGTTGTTGTTTTTTAATTATTTAAACGTCTAATTTTTTCTATAGCTCAAAACTACATTTCATTTCACACGTTTATAACAGTTGTTTGCGTTTGTTGAGTGAATAACACATCTCATGGACTGGTGAAACAATCCATGGGTCAAAATTTAGTTTTTATAATGTTGCACGTGTGATAAAATCAAGATATTCCGAGACTGCTCTTTCTTTATTTTGCATCATGTGTTAAGTTAGACCTAAACGTATGATCCCTTATATAGTATGAAGAGAAAACTGACAAGCTATAAATTATGTTCAGAATAGTTTGTTTGGGAATTTCCATATCAAATAAAATTTCATATCCCGATTTTCTTCGAATCTTTAAAGTTCTGAAACTTTTAACAACGAATAACTTGAATATGCCCTCACTCTCAGTTTGTCAACTTGGATTAAACGTAGATAGGGATCAAACAGCAATACTGTAGGATCGATATCAATAGGAGACTGGTGACGACCTTTGTTACATAGACTCCACTCTGGATTCAATAAACCCCAGAAGCTAGGGCCTAAAAAGAAAGCAATAAAATATATTAAATTAGCGTTATGCTACACGTAACAAACAACACAATCTATTTCTTATTTTACGATACGATAACAAAAATATTTATTTGATATATAGTTCGAGGATGAAATAATTTACAGACGCTAAAATAACTAATATAGTAGAGACGTATGTGAAGAAATGAGCTTTAAATATGCTGATGCCAAGAAGTAATTAACGTGTAAAGAATGTAAAGACGCTTTACATTTAAATATTCTGATGCTAAGTAGTAATTCATGAGTCTTTACATTTAAATATGCTGTAAGTAGTAATTCATGAGTCTTTACATTTAAATATGACTCATGAATTACTACTTAGCATCAGCTTTACATTTAAATATTCTGATGCTAAGTAGTAATTCATGAGTCTTTACATTTAAATATGCTGATGCTAAGTAGTAATTCATGAGTCTTTACATTCTGTGAAAAATGTAGTAAATGAATTCTTTACACATTTGATACATTACCTTTGCTCATTCTCACTAGCCTTAAACTCTCTACGAGTATTAGCGTAAAATAGCCTATAGTTAAAAGGCATACATCGGAATCTGTTATGCATTAAAAATGCAATTCACTCCCGAGTACTTTGGAGTGACATAATCCAGTTGTACTGAACGTTTTCACTACATTCGGGAAAGGAATAAAACAGATAGTTGTAATTTGTACAACAATGGGGCACTTGGAGCAATAAGGAATTTATAACAGGTTTCTCAAACATGATAATTTGTAGAAAAATAAGACGTTTAGAGCAGGTTGCTTCGAAAAGAATGTTATACACTTTTGTGTGTTTCTTGTACACTGCCTAGTAAAATAATATTTTCTTATCGCCTTTAATTGAGTATCTTTTAGTTTTGTGTACAATATGATGTGATACAAAGTCTTAAGATATAAAATCAAAATTTCATAAATTTCCCTACCTAGCCTTTCTAAATATCTGACTGCTTTTAATCCAAGATCTTATTGAGCACGAGAGGTAGCTCTAGCTTTCGAACATGGCAAGCATGGCTCGAATCCGTACGATATCACAATAAAGGAAGATGAGTATTGAGTACTACATGTTGTATTCATTTCTTTTATCAAAAACATTACATGTAAAGTAATATAACAAATTAACAATAACAAAATAGATAGACAGATGTTAACTTATTTATTTTATTATTTCTTGCCATGTGCCATTTAG